CAACGTGCTGAAACACGGCAACTAAACCCAAAGAATGCACAACGTTTTATTATAATAATGTTCTCATTAGAATGTTATATACACAACATTCCCAATCATAGTTATTAATGTTGTGCACTGCTGTTTGAGCTGCATGCGCTGAGCTAAAGACGATCACCGGTAAACTGAAGCGCTCTTTTAACTTAACCAAACGCATTCTATATGAGATAAATCAGATATACATCAAATAAACACAATATTACAACGTACAATTGCACAAAAGGCTGCAAACGAACAGCGCACATCTGAAGTGTCTCTGAAGGAAATAATGCATTATTTATCGGCTTTAAGATATCGGCCAAATTTTCTTATCAGGCCGATACCGATAACAGAAAAAATGAGCATTTATCGGCCGATACCGATATGGTGGCCGATATATCGTGCATCCCTAATTTATTTATTTAGTAATAAATACAGTTTAAGATGATTTATACAATTCCTTTCATTCATGTAAGCTAATATATACAATTTAAGCTAATATACAATGTTATTTCATTAGTTGTTTTTGTTAAATAGCTATGTAATAAGTGACAGTCTACTGCCAGCGAGTCATTATTTACATCAAAATACAAAATATCCATAAAATATGAATTTAGTTTTTTTTTCCCATTTGAACCACTTCTTATGGTAAAATCTGTTCCTCTCTCTTTCTGTAGTGATGGCAGCTATCCGTAAGAAGCTGGTGATTGTGGGAGATGGAGCCTGTGGGAAAACCTGCTTGCTGATTGTGTTCAGTAAAGATCAGTTCCCCGAGGTCTACGTGCCTACAGTGTTTGAAAATTACATCGCTGATATAGAGGTGGACAGCAAACAGGTCAGTAATCCTGAAATAGTCCTGTACACAGTGCTTCTTCCTCGTTTTGTGGACCGAAGCACTGAGAATGGGGCGTGTGTGTTTGTTTGAGAGGGGGAATAGGTTGTTACTGCAGCCTGTCATATTTTTAGCCCAAATTTGTGGCCAACATGAACAGACATGATGTAGATATATTGTGAGAGAAGTTAAATCTGAGTGTACACAATATTGAAATGAATATTGGAAAGAATGTTTAGATTAGGGATATATATGCTTTCAGAAAAAAAAAATTGAAAAGAAAATGCATTCTATTTTCTTTATGCTCCAGTACACACATTCCATCTTCATTTAGTTTATTCACTCTAAAAAAAATTAAAAAAAATTAAAACTTTTAACCCTTGAATGTTTTGTCTTTGAAGACCACTAGTCCAGTGTGGACTGCAGTTATTTCTTTAAATAGCCTCCGGTTTATAAATGGTTTTTATATTTATGGCCACTGATATTGACATGAAGGCCACTCAAAGTCCAGACACATACCTTCAGCTGACAACCAATACTGAAGTATCTGCATCTCTCTCTCTCAGGTGGAGTTGGCTCTATGGGACACAGCTGGTCAGGAAGACTATGATCGGTTAAGGCCATTGTCATATCCTGACACGGATGTTATTCTGATGTGTTTCTCTATAGACAGTCCAGATAGTTTAGGTACCTAACTACACGCATACACATTGATCAAAAGTTTGGAGTCAGCAAGATTTTTGTTTTGATTTCTATCTTTTTTTTTGAAAGAAATTAACATTTTTATTCAACAAGGAGGCATTATTACCCTTTCCATAATTTTAAGCAGTGCAACTTTTTAAAATTTTTTACATTACCGATTTTAAACATTGTTAATGATAATAAATGTTTCTTAAACGTCAAAAGATATACTAAAATAGAAAAGTTATTTTAACAATGTAATAATTTCACAATTTAACAGTTAAATGTTATTTTAACTGTTAAATTGTTAAATTATCAAATTTTAATAACTAAAACAAAAAAATGTTATATACTCCGAACTTTTGAACAGAAATGTAAATTACATTTAAATTAAATTGAGGCAGTAATTAAACTTGTAAATATTACATCAAATTTAAGAGAATTTATTAAATACTGTGAATTAGGGCTGGGTAAAAAATATAGATATCTAAATATTAATCGATTCTCATTTTTATGGAACAATATCAATTCTTAAATCCCAAGAATCGATTAGTCTAGCCTGTTTTCAGTTAATGGACGGAACATTGAAGGGTACTTCCCATCCAATAAATCGCAATAAGCATTGTGCTTTGGTACTTTTCATATGAAACAAAGTCTCAGATTTCAAATTCTTTTCATTGTATTGCAGTATTCAAACAATAAATGCCGTTTTGGCGCTGTTTAATCTGGAGTGACAGATCGCTGTAGCGCCTCAGTTCAGCAGACACAGCAGCGCGAGGCGCACGTGAACTGATCATCTTCTCCACATTAATACCCGTTTCAGCACAAAATAAACATGACTAAACATCCGATGGTAAGTTAAAAGAAAGAGTATAACCTTACAAGCCGTATCCTGTCTCATGTAATTGCTCAATCTGTGTTTCAGCCGCGCAAAGACGTCAATATAACGGCTTGTAAACAAACAATGTCGCGTAACATCACATTTACCTCAAAAAAACATATTTGGTGACCATAAACTCATTAGTCAGATAGAAAAATATACTGTAGAGAGGGGCATTTTGCTAAATATATGCACCATATAACATATTCATTATACATTTTACTGTTCTTCAATGTTTCATTTGTTTGAATAAATCCATCAAGTTTTTATGACAGCCACCATTATGTTTATATTTCAAACAAATTAATTGAAGTAGAAATATTATGTAATTGTAAATTTATTATTTTAAAAACTTCATTAAGTAATTTTAACAAATCAGTCAATTTTAAGCTTCAATATTATAATAATGTAGTACCAGCTGACTCTCATATATATCTTACAGCATTAGTAGAGTTTTTTTTCCTTGAGAAAATTTGTCATGTACTGTACCTGATATATATCCAAAATAATCTATATTGAATCAAATTGGTAATCAAATCGAATCGCAAGCTTGTGGATGAGAATCGAATCGTGAAATTTGTCAAAACCCAGCCCTACTGTGAATACGCATTTTTTACTGTATTTATAATTTAATTTACTGTATTAAATTATTTCTAAAAGTATCTAACAATGATGTCGTTTCATAACTTTTTTTTTTTTCTGGTTTCTTCCAGAAAATATTCCAGAGAAATGGACGCCAGAGGTAAAACATTTCTGTCCCAACGTTCCCATCATCCTTGTGGGCAATAAAAAGGACCTGCGGAATGATGAACACACACGCAGGGAGCTGAGTAAGATGAAACAGGTGTGACAGATGTGTGTGTACGTGTGTGTGTGTGCATGTGTTAAACAGGTGTTGCCATAGTAACTTGAAGTAGAGAGACACAGCAGAGGCCTTTTGTTGGCCCTTTCCTTAACAAACAGGACACTTCCTGTCTCTGAGAGCTAGGCCTGTCGCAATAATCAATATATCGACTTATCGCGCAATATATGTACATGACCGCAATCATTTTTGGTGACGCAATATATCGCCCATTATATTTACTTAAGAATTAATGTCACCATGTTTTGTATATTCCACTTGCGCATGTGTCTTTTGCAGCTTCTCGTACATAACGTGGTGTAGTCATGAGGTGCTGCTAGTACAAATGTAAAAAATGCTTCTACAAAAAAAGTTTCATCTGCAGATATGGCCTTGTTTATGGATGTGCCTTTGTGCATATGGACATCTGACTGCTAAGTAGTGATTGTTTTTCAGCAATAGTGTGCACCCTTAATTTACTGAGAAAAGAAGGTCTGGGAAAAATCTGTAGATGGAAAAATCCACATACAAATTCTTTGTGCAATTTTCTTTTTTTCTACTTTGCACTTTTTGTTAGAAAATGTTTATTTACTATTTATTCAGGTTTTTTAAGGTATCTAATATTTTGATACTTAATTTCCATTATCTAAATATTCTTAAAAATTTCAAGTTTGTTGTCATTTGGAAGTGTGTAGGCCTTCTTGCATTATTATGCTGTTACATTATGATTTATATATTAGTGGCATAAAATGGTCTTTAAAATGACAATAATATCGCTTATCGCAATTATTTCTGGCGCAATATATCGCACAACAAAAAGCTGTTATCGTGACAGGCCTACTGACAGCCACAAAAGAAAATGGAAATGCAGCTGTTTCCTGTGGGGATAAAGCTGACCTCAGGGATTGCTTCATACTGAAGGGTGTTTGTAAGAGAAAGGCAGAAGCAGTAGTGAAACTTTCATACCAGTCAGAATAATACTTTTAGATATATTATGTTCATGTAATTTGCTAATGTGAACTTAGTATGCAGTTTACACAATTTTCACTATTATGACCCATCATATTCTCCCAAATTGCTCCTCTACTTTTACCCACAAAGCATTGTGTTGAAAGGAATTGTTTTGGCTATAGATGTCCAAGCACCATTTAAGGGAGCTATCAGTGTCGTTAGTGTCTAGGAATGCTCATTGAGCTCAACCCTTGATTTTATCTCTACAGGAATGTAGCAGATTGTAAACCACGTGACATTCCACATACTACAGTAGTGCAGTATAAAATTGTTATTGTAGTGTATTTACTGTTTTATGTGCTACTTTTAAAAATAGTATAGAGTACCTAGTACAGTGTCAGTTGTACAGTCAGCGTATAGTCTGCTAGTATGGCATATTGAACACCGTAAGTAGGTCCTGTTTTGTCCTGGATGAGGTTAATGTTTTTTATTGGATCTTTTAATAGTAGCTGTTGATCGTTTTGTTGTAACCTACTTTTGCTTTGAAATCAGTATGCAAGTACAGAAAAGTTTAACTTAAATGTTCAAAACATCAGCAGTCATCAGTGTAACATGATTCATAATCATTTTAAAATGCTGATTTGGTGCTCAAGAAACTTTTCTTATTATTATCAATTGTAACGGTTGTTGTCTTGTCCCAAAATATAACAAAAAGACACACACACCAAAAAAAAAAAAAAAAACGATCTGAAGCGGGAACCCGTGTGATGACGCCGAGTCCTAACCGTAAGACCACCTTTTGTTCTTAACGTTGACTGCACTCAGACTTTACTCGACTCTCAGACCGAAAGCCAAGCTGGCAGCAAGGGTGGCTAAGAGTGACTCGGGAACATCGGCGGTGTCAGCCTGTCTTGGCTCCTTCCTATTTTATAGCTCCAAGTCACCGATTTTGGGAGTAAGGTGCGAAACTCCAGTTCAATCCCAGAATTGACAAAGAGGCATTCGCCGGTGTACAGACGAAACATGCTACCTATCAGATTGTGCTACCAAAAATATATTTGCATCGTTTTAAGGGTAAGTTTAGGGTAAGGGTAGGTGTGGACTTTTAAAAAAGCCTCAAACCACATGAATAAGATGCTGGTAGCACAATATGATAGGTAGCATTTTTCGTTATCGACTTGTGCTACCTATCTTTTTAATGGGAGGTAGCACAAATCGTCAGAACACCGGCCAAGAGAAATGTCCGTTAGCAACAGTCTAAACAGGTAGTACCACCTCCTCTCCACCAACCCCGGAAACGCACACGAAAGATCCACCCGCAAGGACTGCCTCCAAAAGGAACATAACACACAGATTTTGGTCAGTCAAACCTCCTCCCGTCTCTAAACTTCGCCCTATATACATATACTCCTCCTCTTAATTGATCCTCGCCTTCAATCGTATTGTATTTTAGTTGGAGGGCGGTGACAAAGTAAACAAAGGGGCAGTATGGAAAATATCTTTAATGCCACACAATGTTGAAAACTGCTGTGCTGCATATTTTTGTGGAATCGGTGATACATTTTTTTTTTCCAGGATATTTGATGAATGGAAAGTTAAAAAGTAACAATTTATTTGAAATATAAATATTTTGTAACATTGTAAATGTCTTAAATGTCACTTTTGATCAATTTAATGTGTACTTGCAGAAAAAAGTATTTATTTCTTCTAAAAAAAAAAATCTTACTGTCCCTAAACTTTTGAACAGTAGTGAAAGTATTTTTTAAAAGAATTCTTATCATATATGTGTATGTTTCAGGAACCTGTAAAACCAGAGGAGGGCCGTGACATGGCTAACAGGATCAGTGCATTTGGATATTTAGAGTGTTCGGCTAAAACTAAAGATGGAGTGCGGGAAGTGTTTGAGATGGCCACCAGGGCGGCACTGCAGGTCCGCAAGCGCAAGAAGAGAGGCGGCTGCCTGCTGTTATAACTGCCTGTGGCACAGTGTTACAATATCAGAATTCAGAAATGTCATAAACTCGAGGACAATTGATCGACTCCAGATGATACATGCTAAGAAGTATTAAGTGTACATCCTTCTATTTTTCTGTGAGTTCAAGTGGTCTCAGGATCCTTCTCCCATGGAAATTTTCTAAAAAAAAAATTTATTCATTTTTGCTCAGAATGGTAGTAGGTTGGACTGTCTTCACTGAATAAAAGTGTCACCAATGAAGGTTTCGGAATAAATAAGGGTGTGGTCACATTTACCGTAATTCATTCAAACAGAAATAGAAAGCTGCTTGGCATGAAAGTAACTTCTGTGTGAGCTGTGCTTCATACATTGCTACACTTTTGATAATGGGCAATAGACTTGTTTGCCACAATGTTGCTAATGTGACTGCACCTTTAAGAGGAAAGCATCAACTCTTAGAATCATAGTAAAGCACTGTCGTGGTAACACCAATATCTCTAGGTTAATTACGGGTAGAGGTGACTTGAGAGAAGAGGTATTTTTTTCTGTCCTTGAACCAAAAAACCCCAAAAAGTTTCTCAGTGGGGCTGTCCGTATAATTGGTATTCAGCAGGATTGAGAGGACAATAGGCCAACAGAAGAAGGCCCTACCTGGTTTAAAATTGGGGTAAGTGTTTATTTTTTGTTTGTATATGTCCCTATTGACTTGATAGATACCTCAAGATCAGATGTGCTGATGTTGCAGGGCTGGCTCTGTGACAGTCTTAGGCTCTCTATAAAATGCTACAAAAAAAAACACCCAAGAGGCGATGAGGATAGGATTGCAAGCCTGTAGACATCTGGTGTCTAACAGTACATAATAAGGAAAATGGCTCAAACATCATTGGGACTCTACAGTAAACTCAGCCAGGTATAGCAGTACTCCCAATAGCCACAAGGGAGTGACATGCACTATTAGTTTGACATTAATCTATGGACATTTGGAAATGTATTAATGTGTCAGTGGTTTAATAATGAAATATTAAGACGCTTAATAATGAAAGATTTAATGTAGGAATAAGAAAGGCACTTTATCATCAAAAACAGTGGTTTATGAATCAGTCCATGAGCTCATTTTTTTAAGGTAAATTAAAATATTTTCTGTCATTTGATTAAAAAAAAGGGTTTGATATTCAGTTACCTGCAAGCTTTACAATTATATTTCTAGATTCATTCATATTTAAGCCAGGTTCACACTACATAGTCTTGGCTACAATGTCATACATACAGTCTTACTTAAAATCGTTGATGCTACACAGTGTGCTGTGGCTTTTACCCAAGATCCCATTAGGATCATTTCTTACAGTCTAACAAGCAACAAATGTAAAGGACCATAACATTTGTACAGTGTGAGCCCGGCTTTAAACAATCGATAGATCCAAGATTTCCATACTAGCTTCAGAAGGTGCAGAACAGGTGTGGCTAGTGAAGACAGACTTGAGTTGGAGGACCTTCTTTGTTAATAATCATGTCTCCACTCAGGATGCACGTATTGTTGGACTGCACTCTCCTCAGTTTCCACTAAAGGGTGAAAGAACACAACAGTGAGTTTTCCACATCCTGCCTTCTTGAAACTCATATTCTTCATTTACTATTATTTGTATTATTAATAGAATTATTTATATTACTTTTATATTATTACTGTATGTTATTTACTATCACCATTGAACAAGTCTGCTGGTAACTGTACTTTTGAAATTGAGCATAAGCTAATTATTCATTGAACAATAAAAATGATATATTTAAGAAATAACTTTGAACTGTGATTGAATGCATCCAAACAAGCTTTAAAGTCTAAAAAAGTATTACAGTCAGATGTTTATATTTGCTGACAACTGGTTTTGAAAAAAATGGAGGAAAGAGGACAACATCCTGCTTGCAATGCCGACGTAGACAACATGATTGTTTTTGACAGAACATCAACAAACACGCAGGAATTCCCAGGTATTTTGAAGGCATTACACTAAAACCAGTTTAATTTTTCATCCCAGTGAAACCAAAAGTTGTGGTATGAAAAACAAGTTTATGGTTGAAGTCAAACAATGTGTTGTGACTTAAAGAGATTTCTGTCAGGACCACTATCGTCAAAATGATAGATACTTAGCATAACATTTGGTTTGGCGGTATGGTTCTGTTCTGGGCAAAAAACTCCCTGCCCATCCATGCAGCCTGTCATGAATGAGCAGGGAGAGCAGCAATAATACCCCCCCAGGGTTAACAGAATATCATTAATGTACTTGATATTTAAGTGTAACACTTTATTCAAGATAAAGGAGTCTGATTAGCAAGGAATATCAGAAAGCCAAGTCCTGACTGTGGCGAAAGGAGGAGCTGGGGATGGAGGAGGGTAATTTGCTGCTGAGCAAGCTGAAAAGCTGCTGAATAATACTGAATAGAGCTTATATAGGAATGCCGCTATAGGTGACGTATTCCTATAGGTAGATGTGATCAGCTGAGAATCAGCTGATGCAAGCTTGACTCACGTGACCTGCCAGAACTAACCCTAACGCTTAATTTAGAGTATGATTAAAACTCACCTCTCTCATCCTGGATGTTAAGAGCAAGCAGACACTTTTCAACCTCCTCTATTCCCTCTACACTGATAAAGGGAAGCCCGGTGTAACCGCCCTGCTCAAAGCAGAAGTCAATAAACCTATAAACATACACAGGAGATACACATCATTTAGAGGAACAGCTTTCTTTGCATTTCATCCATGTGTAAGTAGGAAGTGTACAGTATATACCGGCCCCAGGTTTCATCGGTCCGCAGAATGGTGGGGTTTCCCACCATGATGAACAAGGCTTTTGCTCTTGTCACCGCCACATTGAATCTCTGAAGGAAAGAGACATGAACAAGAACAAGTTCAAGACTAAAGTGTGTTCTGGCAAATTGTTAAAGAAAGAGCCTATTTGCATACAATGTAGCATGCAACTTAATTCAAGGTTTCTTGTGCATTCACAACATTTTGTGTTGAAACGTGATATTACACTACCATTCAAACGTTTGGGATCGGTAAGATTTTTGCAATATTTTTGAAATAAGACTCTCCAAAGCAGCAATTATTTGATCAAAAACACAGTAAAACAGCAACATTGTGAAATATTATTGCCATTTAAAATAACTGTTCTAATCTAATACATTTTGAAATGTAATTTATTCCTGTGACGCAAAGCTGAATTTTCAGCACTCTTCAGTGTCACATGATCCTTCAGAAATCATTCTGATTTGCCCCTAAAGAAACCCTTCTTATTATTATCAGTGTTGATAATAATAAGATAATAAATATTTTTGTGGAAAACCTTTTTTGATATATGGAAGGTTTAAAAGAACAGCATTTGTTTGAAACAGAAAATGTATTTATTGTAGTGCTGGGTGGTATACCGGTTCATACTGAATACCGGTGTTAATTTTTGTTATGATATGAATTTTTAAAATACCGGTGTATGTCGCTTAAACAACGTTCGGAACGTGACACTGTTTGAAAGAAGTCCCTTTTCACTGTTGCACTGTGGTGAGGGAACAGCTGTATGTGTTACTAAGCGTGAAAGATCCGAAACTGAAGCTGTAGAACTAATAGAACGTGATGACACAGAAGAACTCATCCACAATATCCACATTGACCGCCACAAATATCCACCGCCCCCTGCCATCAGCTCCCGCATCTCACACACACGAGTGCGACTTTAGCACTAGATTTAGCAAATTTCAGACCCTTTTAGCGGCTTTTTTCCATAGAATATTCATACTGACAAGCCTAGTGACTTTTTTGGATAAACCTTAGCTATGGTTCAGTTGGAAGATTTCGCCAGTGCTGTCCCGCGAGCGTGAGGTCTGACTTTCCCGGAGAAGTGTCACCTCTCTAGGCGTCTGTTCTGTGCAGTGAGCGGCAGAGAAGCAGCACATTCAGTTGGCCGCACCGCAGCAGACTCCTCAATAAATGAGTACA